TGGCTGACTCTCCTCTACTTGCTCTCCAAGTTTAGTGGGGATTGGGTTTACGGGGCCTGAGTTATGCCCTGCAAATAAGGTGCCCCCATCCTCCATTGTTTCCAGTGGGGGGGGGGACAGCATAAAAAGCAAGGGCAATAGAAGCCTTGCAGAACAGAATCAAGGTCCCAGGGAATCTCTGCAGTAAAAACGGGGGGCATTTTTGCAAGCCCAGCAGAACCAGTGCAATGTGCCCAGCAGAACCAGTTCCACTGTGGCAGTGCAAACCCAACAGGACTAAGGTCAAGCCAGGAAAGTGTGGCAGAGTGCCAGGTGTGCCATACCCATGACCAGAGGGGCACAAACCCCCAAGAGTTGTCCTCCTCCATCTTCTGCAGGCACCCAACTATATTGCTGCCGGAGGAAAGAGTGGTGGCCAGCGGGAGGAAGAAGAGGCCCACTCCCTCTCAGCAGGGAGGAGCGGAGGGGGAGCAGGATGCCCCTCCAAGAGAGGCTCCCCGCACTCGGGCTGATGTGGGTCGGATGTCAAGGCAGGCCACCCTCCAAGAGGTCAAAAGGGCTGGCTATGTGGAAGGCCCAGGAAGCAGTCACTCACTTTGTTGGCAAGATGATTGCTGTGTATGGCCAACCCTTCTCCCTCTTGGATGATGTAGTCTTTTGCCAGCTGCAGTGGTTATGGTCAAGGCTCAGTGCTCCAGAGCACAAGGCAGAACTGTGCGCTTCGTGGCAGACCTCTGGAGCAGCCAGCTGGACTGTCAGGGCACAGCCCAGACTCCAGGAGGGGACAGTCCTGCCACCAGGCTACAAAGTGGTTCTGCTCCATGTGCAGGGGATAGATGCAGACTATATGGCACAAAACATAGCCATTATAATACAAAGTAGCATGAGGGAGTGCGTGGTCAGTGGCAACACTGTGGCTACATGGTCATGCTGGCAGAGGCAAAGCATGCGCACCTCAAGAGCATAGTCTGCCTAGTGCACTCACTTCAGCTAGTGGTGAAGGATGCTCTGGGGCTGGGGACACCTGGGATGCTGCCCCCCTTCAAGATGTGGTCCTTGCTTGAGACCTGCTGGCTCCCGGCCACCACCTTCTCGAGCAGCATCAAGTCTGCCCATCTACTGAGTGAGAGGCCAGGGGAGAGGGGTGAGGAGCTCCACCTATGCCATGATTGTGCGTTTGGTGGAGCAGAAGAGCATGGTGCAGAATGTCATCTCCTCTGTGACCTGCTGCATGGGGAAGAGGACCTCAGCATCAGCTCCAGTGACTGGCTGACCCTCTCCCAAATGGTGCATGTCCTCAAACCCTTCCAGGACACCACCGATGTGCTGTGTGCCCATATGGCCAGCCTGGGGGCAAGTCATCCCCCTGATTCAAAGGCCGGACCAAGTGCTGGCCTTTGCACTGGAGCCAGGCCCTGAGGGGACTGCTATTCTCCCACAGGTCAGGGCATTGGCAGAGAGGTTGCATCCTCTCTGCAATAAAGGGGAGTACAAGTTGACCTGTATTTGTGACCTCCAGATAAAAGGCGGCATTGGTCCCCTGAATGCGGAGCTCTTGCAATGGAAGTATGAGCTCTGTAAAGAAGTGCAGAGGCTACAGGCCAACAGATGTGGTCAGAGGGAACAGCAGGTAGAAGTGGCTGGGGAGGAGAAGGAGGAGCTGCAACCCAGCACCTCTGCCTCAAAGGGCCCAACCAGGGACAAGCCCCACTACTGGTTTGTCAGTAGTGAACTGGGAGCGGTGGGGATACCAGGTGTGCAGTGGCAGATGATCTGGCAGAGGTGATGCTGAGGGAGTACCCCACCAAGTCCCGTGAGCCCACCGATGCCAGTCCCCTGGAGTGCTGGTTGCGCAAGGCTGCTATCTGGTCTGATCTCTCTTGTGTGGCCATGAATCTACTTAACATCCAAACCCCAGGAGGAAAGAGGAGGGTATAAGGTGTGGGTACTCAGCCAAGGCATCCAGTAGCTAAGCCCCACTGCTTGGCATGAGCAGAGAGACGGGGTGGGCTCAGATCCCTGAGTCCACCTAACACCCAAAGCCCTACAAGGGAGAGAAGTTCACAATCAGGAGGGTATATAATGTGGGTCCTCACTTAGCCAAGGCATCCAGTAGTTAAGCCCCTCTGTTTGGCATGAGGAGAGAGATGGGGTGGCTCAGAGCCCTGAGTCCACCTAACACCAGGGAGAGGTGTTCATAATCAGGAATAAATGATGAATGTGCTCTGCTTTTAAAAGTTACCTGCCTCTCTGTCTAACTGCCAACAGCGAAGAGGCCACAGAGCTGAGCTAACTTTGGAGGGCTCCTATTTGTGTTTCCAAGGTTGGAGAATTCCACCCCTCCTGTCACTTTGAAGTTTTGTAAACAGTTTAAGCAGAGACGGTCTGTCTGGAAATGTATCCATTCACAAACCACCATGAACCGCATGAAAGTTCGTGGAATGTTTATGCTAGTTGCCCTGCCATGAATATTGCTTCATGAACCATGAACTGACTAAAGTTCATGACAAACTTTAGTTTGTGAGCTGGTTTGTGCCCATCCCTACTCAGGAGATCCCTAGGCATGGTGTGCTACAATCAGAAGCAGGTGTGCCAGTAGTATAAGGAGCTACAGGTGTCTCAAGCAAGTGATCAGGGAGCATCTAAGAACTGAGCAAACCCCCTGATGTGTGGTTCACATTTCCCACATTGCCTCCTACCTCAACAAGAAGTGGGGAAAGGTGGAAGAGAAGAGTGTGTCTATTGAGAAAGGTGTAGGTTTCTTAGAGACATCTAAGCCTGTTGCTTCATAGGTTATGGTTTTAGATAGCATCAATACCTAAAGGTCTGGGCTAGGTTTGTAATTAATCCCTAACCTGGACTTGAG